GTATTAGAGGTCTCCCTTCAACTGGTGGCATAAGAATGGGTGAATCTTGGAGATACTCTTTGATTCTGTCGAAAGCGGCCTGACAATCATCATTCCAACGCACTACTTGATCTTTCTTCAGCAGCTTGAAGATTGGTTCACAAGTAGCAGTTAGATGCGAGATGAATCGAGCAATGTAATTCAGACGTCCTAGAAAGCCTCTGACTTCTTTCTCCGTCTTAGGAACTGGCATCTCTTGTATGGCTTTAACCTTAGCAGGGTCCACTTGAATACCCTTGTCACTTACGACGAAGCCTAGCAACTTCCCAGATCTTACCCCGAAGGTGCACTTGTTCGGGTTCAATCTCAGCTTGTACAACTTCAGACGGTCAAACAACTTCTGTAGATGGTCAAGGTGTTCCTCCTCAGTTTGGGACCTTGCAATCATATCATCGACATACACTTCTATCTCATGTTGGATCATGTCATGAAATAAAGCAACCATGGCACGTTGGTAGGTTGCCCCAGCATTTTTCAACCCGAATGGCATGACCTTGTAGCAGAAGGTGCCCCACTGAGTAACAAAGGTAGTCTTTTCCATGTCTTCAGGAGCCATTTTGATTTGAATATAACCTGAAAAACCATCCATGAAGGAGAACACCTTGTGCTGAGCAGTATTGTCAACCAGAATGTCGATGTGAGGTAGAGGGAAATCATCCTTGGGGCTTGGCCTGTTCAGATCCCTGTAGTCAAAACACATTCTGACCTTACCATATTTCTTCGGCACCGGAACCACATTGGCAACCCACTGAGGGTAAGAAGTCACTGCTAGAAAACCGGCATCAAATTGCTTCATAACCTCAGCTTTGATCTTCTCGGACATTTCTAGACGCATACGGCAGACCTTTTGCTTAACCGGAGGGCAGTCTTCCTTGGTAGGCAGGTGATGGACCACAATGTCGGTATCCAACCCAGGCATGTCTTCGTAAGACCAGGCGAAGATTTCCACATAATCATGCAACATCTGAATCAACCGTTGTTTCACGCTGAGCTCCAGGTTGGCACCAATCTTAACTTCCCTTCTATCTGTCTCAGTACCCAGATTTACCGTTTCCACTGGCTCTTCATGTGGCTGAATGGCCCTCTCTTCCTGGAGTAACAGTCTTGCAAGCTCGCCAGGCACTTCGCAATCATCTTCACCTTCGTCTTCGGCTAAGTTGATCAGATTTTTGAAGTCATAACTGGCAGTAGCAGAGTCGTTACCAGTGAGATCCTGAGTGGATTGATACCTGTATGAGTGAGTGTGTGTAAATACAGTTGTTTTGCAATATATAAAAGAAAGAAAGAAAGAAAGGGAGCACAAGATTTGAAATGCGAAAAAACGTCCAATGTCTTTATTCATGATATATGGAAATGACAGTTAATAAGCCCTCACAAATGAAGCCACGGTGCCCCGGGTAAGACACCGGGCCATAAAGTTTCAATTTATTATTCATTACAAATAAAAACAAAGGAATTCATTACTACGTAACAAAAGTAACAGGTATGTAGTCTTTTGCAGTCCAATTGCTCAGTCCACCGTCAGCCGTCGGGTAGATCTAGCTATCAAACTTTGATTCCTCCGCATCGCCTTCAATGGCATTTACCCCCGGGTTGGTGAACTTCTAAGTCGAGATTGAAAGACTACGCAGGCCTATTCTCCTTCTCTGCAGAGGTATGAGATGTCAATTTCAGTAAGATAGCAGTGGAAGATAGCAGTGGAAGAGGGTTGTGCCTTACTGTTGGTAATACCTCTATCTAAGACTACGCAGGGCCTTCTCTGCTTGTCTAACATAGGCTAGATTTGCGCACAGCCCTCTGAGCCTCTGGTAATACCTCTATCTAAGACTACGCAGGCCATGTCTTTCTTGTTCCACTAGCTAGGACAAAATTATCAGATGTCCCTTTCGTTATCGTTATTACAACCTTCTTTTTTGATGTCAAAGACCAGAAGCTGTGCGCTAATTCTCATTGGATCTCGGTTGTTCTTAACAGCGATGGCTATTCATTTAAGTCTTCGGGTAGCACCATTAGATCTTCAACAAGGTGGAAATTCTCGTATTCTTTATGTACATGTTCCTGCGGCTCGGATGAGTATTCTTGTTTATATCGCTACGGCTATAAACACTTTCTTATTCCTATTAACAAAACATCCCCTTTTTCTTCGCTCTTCCGGAACCGGTACAGAAATGGGTGCTTTTTTTACGTTGTTTACCTTAGTTACTGGGGGGTTTCGGGGAAGACCTATGTGGGGCACCTTTTGGGTGTGGGATGCTCGTTTAACCTCTGTATTCATCTCGTTTCTGATTTACCTGGGTGCACTGCGTTTTCAAAAGCTTCCTGTCGAACCGGCTCCTATTTCAATCCGTGCTGGACCGATCGATATACCAATAATAAAGTCTTCAGTCAACTGGTGGAATACTTTGCATCAACCTGGGAGCATTAGCCGATCTGGTACATCAATACATGTTCCTATGCCCATTCCAATCTTGTCTAACTTTGCTAACTTCCCCCTCTCAACCCGTATCTTGTTTGTTCTGGAAACACGTCTTCCTATTCTATCTTTTCCCGAATCTCCTTTAAGGTATGAAATAGAAGCTCGAGAAGGAATAGCAAAACCTAGTTTACTTCCCAGCTCAAACTGAACGCGATGTAATCAAACTTATGGTTGACGCCGTAGAGAATATAAAGCCCATATGCGAAGTGGAAAAAGTCGGAGTAGCAGGTACTATTTATGATGCCCTGGGGATTGTAGCCAGGGATCGTCAACGAACCTTAGCTATTCGTTGGATCCTTGAAGCAGCTTTCAAACGACGTATAAGCTACAGGATAAGCTTAGAGAAATGTTCATTTGCTGAGATACTGGATGCTTACCGAAAGAGGGGAATTGCACGTAAGAAAAGGGATAATCTTCATGGACTGGCTTCCACCAATCGAAGTTTTGCGCATTTCATATGGTGGTAAAGTGAGACCACATAAAGAGCTCTCTGATCCTCATTCAGTCAGATTCTTCAGTAAGATATGGTTTTACCCTTTTCCTTTTTGTTTGAATCTTCATTCATTGAGTATGAGGAATCCAAAAGCAGTAAGACCCCGATACAACAATAAGACAATAAAATTTTGTTACCTACACCTAATTCAAGACCGGTTAATGCAAGAACTATAAATAATAATCTATACAGAAAAAGGCCATGACCGAAGGAGACTACAACCTAGTTATGATTTTAAGCCCGGCTTTATTTTTTACCTTCTTACCTATTATGGTAAGGGCAACCCCTGTTGTCGACGGAATTCGTCATCGGTGAAATGCGAGTAGAATTCACGATAGATTTCTAAATTGCGGCCGCTTAGGTTTACTTGTTCTATAAAGAACGTCAGACTTCCATCCATGAGATGGCGCGGATAGGCATGTTCAAGGGAGCTAAGCGGGGAAACCTTCTCCTGAATGAAGTCGTAGGCTTCCTACCAACTATTTGAATAGGGAGATAGCTCCATAATTCGAGCAAGATTCTGCTCATCAAGCATCATATTTAAGAGTTTATCCTGCAGACCGGCCTTTTTATCTAATACGCGTAGTTCGAGATACTCTCGATCAAAGATTTCCCAGTAGTGATCTACGTTTAGGGCTTGATCGAAGTGCTCTCGAACCAGCCTCGCGTAATCTCCCGGGTTATTATGAGGGGGGATATTGTAGTAATGCTGGTTCTCGAGAACCCTAATTCGCTCATATATTTCCGCTTCATTTTCTGCTGCGATAACATTTCGAAAAGTAGCCAGAGACTCGTAACTTGACGACGATTCCAACGCCGGCAGATTGGAACTGTCAGCGCCGTTGTCGAAACAGCAAATCCACTCAAAGTCCAGAGGCTGAGACCCCCCACAAGTCAGTCCAAATTTACTATATGAAATAAAGAGAGTATGAAATGAATATAGAGCCAATAAAGAACAATTAACACAATCAAACTTAAATTTTAGTAAAAAGGGGGAATGCCGCAGCTCTATAAAGACTAAGATGTTCTGTTTATATTACATTACCGAGCTAGCTGGTAATTAAATCCAAAAACTGAAAAACCTCGTTGCATAACCAACTATTTTGTCCATATAACATAACATCAACATATGAATCCTTGATAAAGCCTGGGATGTGAATAGCCTCTTCCCCAATCACTGTCCGAACAAGGCCCGGCATGCTCCATTCTGGGGGTAATTGCTTACCGGCTCTCACCACCCACTCTGCGTATTCATCACAGATTCGATCAAATACCCGCTCTAACTCAGGTGGAGCGCTTTGCGCGTCCGACCTAGTTGAAGAAAGAGTTGAAGAGGTACTTGACAAGAAAGATGGCCTCTCAAAAAAAAAAGAGAGACTCATTCTTGCTCTCAAAATTTAGAAAGACTTGTCTCCAATTTCCGGTTGGTCCAACCAATAAAGACATGGGAGTCTTTGGGCATTGCTTGGGCCGACTTAAGTAAAGACTGGTTACCTAGTGATTTACAACCACCCTCACTGCACACTGTCTATATCTGTCTACTATTGATTCAGGTGCAAAAATAAAAAGAGCTTATTATCAAACTTCCCCTTCTTCCTCAAAGCACTTTGACTCTTTAAGAACGGGAGTGACAGTGGTCGAAGCTAGTGAATTGAATACCAGACGGGGTATAAGGTTCTTTTCCTATTGAATCAGATCTGGCATTAGTAGGAAAATAAAATAGGATACCAGATATTCCGACTACATGAAATAGAGCACCGGATAAGCCCCCAAGACTATCACTGGAGGTGTAAAAATGAGGAAATCTCGCATCTATGCTTTGCGGATGATCTCATGGTGTTCAGCAATGGTGACTTATAATCTATTGCCATTATCAACAATGTCCTCCATATCTTTCAACATCTTTCTGGTCTCACCCCAAATAAATCCGGCTAAGAGTGAGGTTTTCATTTTATTTTTGTAAAGGAAACCACAAAGAATCAGATCACGAACATGCTGGGTTACAAGGAAGGAAAACTTCCCGTAAGGTAATTAGGGGTACCCCAACTTACGACAAAGCTCAAAGCTAGTGATTGCAAAGTACTTGTGGACAGAAAACCATCCAAACTTAAACATTGGACGGGTAGAAGCCTCTCCTACGCTGGCCAGTTACAGCTGATAAACTCCATCCTTTTCTCCATGCAAGTTTCCTCATTCTCCCTGGAAAAGTAGTTAAACAACAAGTAGAACAGCTAATGCGCTCCTTTCTCAGGGGTGGGACGGTACCTCTATCTATCTACGCAATATAGGAGTTCCATTCCAAAACGTACAGCACGGCCTTCCACGCCACCCAAACACCTATCGTCAGTCAACCTTCCCATCAGCCATTGCTCCACCAGCAGTCAGTTCTGCTCCTTTGAATTCCGGGGCTACGGTTCAATAAGTTTTTCAATTTAAAAAAAAGAGTGTTCCTCGGGCGGCACAAAACTAGAGATGTAGAATCACATCTTACGACATATGTACTGAGGAGATCATCACTCGGGAGACATGGTAACAAGCCTGGTAACCAGTTTCCTCCAATGTGGTTAACCTACCCAGATAAAATGTTGGCATACCAATCAGGGTTCCATCCTTCCAGTGAAGAAGGACTTGCTATAGCAGATTGGAACGACTTTACTCTCTCTATATACGATACGATATTTTAGTCGCTTCTTTCTTTTTTTTATTTAATTGCAAAGCCGAAAGCAAACAGACCAACAAGCAAGAACGATTACTGATTCCCTTACTTACCCTAATCCCCAGGTTGCTATATCTAAAGCATCCGAAATGGATCCGCCTCCTTAATAGGGAAAGCCCTTTCCTTATTGATACTCGTTTTTATCCCGTATAACCAGGTCTTGTGTTCGGCGAACAATCCTGTTTTTTTATCCATCCGTTCCTGCTGCCTTGAAGGAATTCCCCTTCTTTTTCTTTGGCCATAAATGGGGGAGACGGGAACTATGCCAATCCCCAATCACCAACTGAAAGAGAAACAAAACTTGAGAAAAGAAGTCAATCGATCAGCAAGACATGAAGCCAGGAGCTACTTTTCTCTTAGATTGGAGACTCAGGGGATTACTAGAAAGAGGTCAGCTACTTAACCTCTCAAAACGAGAGCTCCAGGGGATAGAAGATAAAGATGGTAGGCTAAGACAGAAGGAGTTCAAGTTAGATCCGCTAAGATCGAGTTGAGATTCCTAATTCAAGTAAGGGACTGAGTGGGCCGTTGGCTATGCTATTGAATGCGTTGTCGGAAGGATGGGAGGATAGAATACCCGAGACTAGCTGCCGGAAAGAGCTCATTAGAGGCATTCCACTTTCTTCCAATGAGATGTCTTACGCTTCATGATGGCATTTAGAGGGCTCTGCTCTGTAGCCAGAGTTAAGTAAGGAGCGAGGGATAGAAGGGATTCAAAAGGAAAGACTAAAGTCAAGTTTTGCAAGAAAAATAACTTATTAATCCAGCTGCCATTTCGCTAGATACCAGAAAGAGAAGAGAGTTGACGTTGAGGTGGCACATCTCGACCGATAGGGCGAGGAAAGGCAAGAGAGCAGAAGAATCCACCTTATAGGACCTACGGCATCCTAAGGGACTAGCTCTTCCAACCTTTCTTTCAAGTAGCTCTTCCGCTTCTTCCTTATACAAGAATTAACCTATCCTTGCCCAGCTCATCTCACGGAAGGAAACTCTTGAGCCCCGCACTTCAAGATACTCAAACTCTAAAAGAGGCATTTCATATCTATCTTTCGTGCTAACAGAAGACAACTACGGTATATCATCATACAATTGACATTGCCTTAACATCTAGTTTACGTAAAAAAGTATCGACGAAAAGGTGCATTGATGCCACGGTCCTACTGAAGTTCTCTACAGGCTAGCGTACTACAGGGAAAGGAGGAAATGTTCATATTTGAATCTCTCCATAAATAAAAATAGACTGAGCTTTCGAGGTGGAGAAACTGCTCAGCGTGCGTTAGAATGACTTTGTCTCAGTGGAAGAGGGCAGAGAGTTTACACGAATTAAAGACAGGATAGGCCCAAGCAAAGAGCAGGCTTCACGAATGCTTAGCTCAGAACCTAAACTGCTGGCTTTCTCGCATTGAAGGTATCTGTTGAGGGAATCTATCCCAAAGGTAGGCCCAAGGCTGCTTAATGAGCGCCCCTTGAAAGAACAAGAGCTGCATTCATTCCACCTGCGGAAGTCTCTTAACCACCTCTAAATGTCCCCTTTTGGCTAGTATTATCAAAAATCTAGAAAGAAAAGTGGGGGCTTAATAGAGCTTGCATCTAAGGCGAGGGAGTGAGATGAATCTCTTTCTTTTCGTCTCGTTAAGTGGCCTTGAGCCTGAATTCTGGCACAAGAGATAGTTAGACTGTCTCTTCTCTTCTAAGGTGTGGGCTTGCAAGAATTAAGTAGTAAGAAGTCCTCGAATCGGGAAATGAGCTAGCCTTAAAGGAAATATTTTTATAACCTGAAGTCTCTTTCATGAGCTCAGCTTTAGTGCCACGTTCAAGCTCAAAGCAGGGAAAGGCGGGTATGAACTCATACTAGTTAGCCTGGATTGGCACCTCTTCTCGGAAAGATTCCACTCGATCTAACTCAAAAAATGAATCTTTCACTGGATAAGGAAGAGTAAGGTTAGCAAGTCCTCAAGCAGCTTCTAGCACCTAAGAAAATCGTTTCGAGTAACCTAACTTCCAAGCATGCATGAGATTCTATCTTATATATAAAATGCACTTAAGCTGTAATAATAAGATAATCAGTATCATTCTATTTCCAGCTAAGAAAGCATGTTGAATGATCTAGCTTCCCAAACGAGCTCACAAGCGAGTGGAACGGAGTAAACAAGAAATAGAGCATAGAAGTGGAATATCTTCTATTTACGTGCTGGTGATTGAGCTGGAGATAAAGTCTCTTCCTCTCCTTTACTTACAGTCGAGCTCTATTAACATAGACCCTATAGCTTAGCTCGAGTAACTACGTGCCTTTAGCTCTAGTTCAGTTACACTTATTAACACGAAGGCTAGTGCTAGTTGAGATCAGGGACGGACTCTAACTGCCCCGCTGGCCGGAGGGAAAAAGAACTCCATAGATTGAGTAAATTTACACAAACAGAAGGAATATTGGCCTATTGATCTTGACCAGCCTCGACAGGTTCCACAGCATTTGTAATTAATTTCAGTTGCAGAAGTATGGTAGAAGTTTGTGCAACTGCAGGCTCGGCTTAGTAGGTAGCAGTCCCCTAGGTCAGACTTTGAGTTTTCTTTATTTCCATCTTAGAGGTACGTAGTTCTCGACTGTAAAGGAGAGGATGGAAGACTTAGCAACTTAGCAATTACGTAAGCTTTTGAATTACAAGTAATTCTTACGGCTTTTGAATACCTTATAGTTGCAAGCAAGAGCAGAGCGAAGGTTCGGAGATCTCGAGCGAAGCCAGGAAACAGAAAGTCTTATTATTAGCCTTACCATTACAGTGAGCGAAGAAAGTTACCTAGACTAATAAGGCGAGACTTAGGGACCTAGCTAGATTCACTAGCACCGTCTACTCTCACAGCGGATAGGGATTCCGTTCCCTTTCTAACTGTAAGAGCTGCTACGGATATAAGTCCCACAGATCCCCCTTCTCGAGCTTATTCTTTTTAAGAGACTGATGCCAACTATGAATATACGATCGAATGCGCTCTTGTCTATTTTTAGACTTCTGACTTTTTTTTTGCCTTTGATCTTTTAAGCCTTCCCCAACGGAACAAATGCTGCTGCTCCTTCTGTTCAGAGTTCGCATGACTTCGCTCTCGTTGTGCGTGGACTTCCTAATCGAACTAAGATGGATCGAGCTGTTGGCTCAGAGAAGGTTTTATCGGGGAAGGAATAAGAAAAAGCTTTGTTGACTGAAGAATAAATAAATTATTTTCCATGGGAGGGGAAGCTAACTTAACTTCAACTGAAAGGTGGGGCTGTGAACTAAAACCAGGTATCTGGAACTGGAATGGTGTTCAAACAGAGATTCCACATAAATAGAATCTGGAGAAGGAGAATCAGACATGGGATACCAATATGGGAGGGCATATAAGTATATTACTTTGGGGATCCCTCTGAAAAAGTAGCTGCAAGACCGAACGAAGCAGATGCTGAGACAAGTAGCGGAGTTTAGTCCTTTTCTGAGTCTTTGGAGTTTGGGCACGAGAGTAACTCGACTTCAAGGCCAACGTCCGAAGATGTTGTCAATCTTTATTATGGCAAGGTAGGACACATAAGCCTAACCCCGAGCTGAGCTAGAGTTTTGTCTTTTTATTTTTAGGTATAGTTCAGTAGCAGGAGGGGTAGGAGTCATTCCCTAGAGCTCAAGTGAGGAAGGGGAAATGAGACAAAGGCTAACTAAGGACGAAGTACGGAAGATTCTTACTCCCAGGTGAAGGTTCTAGAATAAGGATAAGGAAGTCCACCGGGATTGGCTTAAAGCTAAGCCAGGTGCTATAGGTGAGGAAGGTTTTAGAAAGCTAGAGTCCGGAAGTGAAAGATGAGCCAACACTGCCCTACGTTCTACCCTTCCAGCAACTAGTGAATAAGCATACCCAGGTTCTAGAAGTAAGAATAGTAGTCAGTTTACTTGAAAAGTAATTCCCCTGTTGAGGCTAGAACGATTCTATCAGTACTAACGGATGCTCCTTTACTAACTCAACCTAACGGATTCGGCATCATTACTATACAATCTTTTTCCTTGAAAAAAGTACAGTATATTATTATTATTCTACTAGAAGTACTCGATTCTGCGTTATACTAACTACTCTATATATCAGTACGTTCGAAGAATCGAATATTTTTCTACTGGTTCAGCAAGCTAGCCGAACTATCAAACAAACAAAAATCACAATAATAAGGATCGAAGGGCTATTCTCCTAACAGTAAGTACTAGGACTAAGACATTCCCGGAGGTTCCTACAATTGAGAAAAAGTCTCCATACGAGCAGTCTTGATGCCATCCTATCCTTCCTACAAACTAAATATGTATAGTGGGAGCCTCCTACGAACCAGTTGCAGTTGTTTTGCCATTCGCTGGGGTTGAAGTTTCTTATCAGCCGGAGATCCTAGTTTCTTTTTCTTCTCCTATAGAATTGACTTACTTACTTTATACTTTAGAGTAAGACTTTCTTCCCAGTTATAAAAATAATCTCACTATCAATCAGCTTGAAAGACATCAGAATCAAAGGCAAGCCCATCTAAGATAGTTTGAGTGTTTGCTTAATCTGATACTTCCCGAGCTTTTCTTTTGCCTGTGCGGAGTCCTTAGTGCTTCATTTCTTCGGTCCCGAGCAAATTTAAGCTAGAAAAGCGTAGCTCTCATGATTTATTCGGACCATTGCTCTATTTTTTAGTCGTATCAGCTTTGATTTGACTTTCCTTGTCCGTCGAGTCAGTAGTCGATCTAGTAAGATTCTTGTATGATAAGTAGCCCATTCTCTTAGGCTTCCCTTCAGGCCTAGTAGTAATTCTTCTTTCTACTCCATCAAGATGGTCAGTGCCACTGTCTTTCTTGATTCATGTAGGATGGGTTGGTTAAGGCGAAGCAGGTTATCAAGAATCCATTCAATTAGATGCTGGTTCATTGGCCTTGCCCCTTTCCACTCCTTCACCTCTTTAACTGGGGGACAGGCAGTTGAACTCAAAGTTGCTGGAACGAGAGTTTAAGAAAGAGGCGGAACATCGCTCTCCGTGGCAGCAAAGGGAAAACGAGATATTGATTCAGTCGGAGATAGACTTTCGATGAGCTCCAGTAGATGCACAATGAGATTCACCCTGTATTGACGGTGTTAGTGCTCTATATCAAATCATTCTGTTTCGGAGTACCTCTTTACTGTAAGATGTCTAACAATGCCTTCATCTTTGCAGAACTTATTGAAATCACAGAACTCCAACTTGGATGTACTCTGACCAGAAAGAAGACCTCTCTTGCTCAACATTGTCAGGCCTTTCTCACTCATGTGTCCCAGCCTCATGTGCCATAATCTGGTTTCATCTGAATCTGACATGGAGGAAGATACAGCAGCTGTGCCTGTAACGGTAGACCCTTGCAACACATACAATCTACCAATCTGATGAGCCTTCATCACAATTAGAGCACCCTTCACAACCTTCAAAACACCATCACCTAAAACAAATTTACAACCACCAAGAGAGATCTAAAGTGGTCAAAGAGATAAGATTCTTTGACATGTCTGGAACATGCCGCACCTCAGTTCTCACCACACCGTCGTGTATTTTGACCGAACCAATACCAACTACATTGCAGGGGTGATCATTGCCCATCAACACAACTCCACTGTCAACCGATAGGATTGGAGCGTCATGGCAATTCGTTCTTGACTTTAGACTAAGGTAAGTCGAAATTCGGTTGTTTTTTTTCATTTTATATAGAAGAAAAATCCATCCGCTCTTCTTCTTCCTTTGAATAAGGAAAGTTACTTGGAATCTTTCTCTCTCTCTCTTTGTCTCATTGCTATCAATCAATGGTTCGAAAGCCAAGGAAATAAAGTGGAAAATGAGGGTTGTGACTGGACACCACATCGGTGAGGATTGCGCTATGCCACCTGTCCGTCCTTACCTGGGTGGGAGTACTGCAAAGCTAACGGTAGGTCAGACAGGTCTGGGATCATCTTTCGGCTGGAACAACCTTTATTATGGGCATGATCAGCTAAAGATCACTGTCATCTCACGAATTGGATTCGAACCAATATCAAAGACTTTACTTTATTAGATCGTGAGTCTATCTGTCGTCCTCCTCATTCTATTCAAGTCCTTTTAGTAACAATCCATTCCCCGAATACAAAAAAAGGAGATGAAAAATATTAGTCGACCTTATGTCGGGAGTTAACCTGGTGATAGCCTAACTCCCTTAGTTAGTCAATGAAGTTGTTCCAAATGGAACAGCGAGCGGTGCCAAAGTTGCGATTGAGCACACGGAAATGCTCAAGACGCTCATCGATGTCGTGCTCCCAGTCGTCATGGAGAGCCACCTCGAGCGCACGCTTCACATCCTTTGGTTCCTCGAGAATGATCCCCTTCCTTCTTCTGCAAGAGAATGTGGGCTCTGTCTATCATGGCTGTTTTTACAGGCCATATTGATAGCATCAATGGCCCTATATAAATGGTCATCCTCAGGTTCCGGCATCCTCTGCTGTGCCACCCAGTGTTATGCGCCGGCTGAACAGCCGACTGCTGGTTGGAAGTGGGCAGGTCCCCTCGGTTCAGGGCTGAAGAGACCTCCTGGTCGAACGCTGTTGGATTTACATTTTTTTTTGATGGTCCGGCTTCTCCTCCCTCCCTGGGGGTTATATGTGAAGGCCCCACTTCGTCATTCAAAAAATTCCAGATAAAGTAACAATCAGACGAAGTAAAAGGCCAAGAAGACGAACTAATGGAGGGAGACGTTTTGGATTGCTGAGGTGAGGGTCCTGGTTTCTGAGGTGCTTGATCACCAGGATGCTCAGGAAGCTGGTGATTTGGTTCTTGTTGGATTTCGGGGAACTGCTCCCTTTCCTCCGGGGGAGGCAAGGGAGGAGAGTGAGGGAAAAGAGTAAGAATCGTCTGATAAATAAGATCTATTCCCGTCGGCACAATCAGTAATGACTATGATGGGAATTCCGAATAAATAAAAAGAGGAATAATAAAGCAAGAAAAAGGGACAACTTTCGTGTAGTTTGTGAGCGCTTCCTCTTTAGGTTGATAGATCTATAATTGGGGAGGGGCTCTTGGCTTTCTATACGTTGTTGTTTCCTGACCACGAGATGTTATGTTTGCTAACAAACTAATTGGTAGTAGGCTGATCTACTTTCCTCTTCTGATTGATACCTTATCCTCGGGGTCTGACTTGGCCTTTCATCCATCCTCCGATTCTCCATTGCTCTGATCGAGGTACCCGACCTCTACTCTTGATTCTTGACTAACTATGGTATGGCTCCTACTTTTCACTAAGGCAAGCCCTACCGACGCCCTGAATCAAACCTCTCACCCCGGACTCTGCCAGTCTCCTAGTAGTTGCAGCAGGAAGCCATAAAAGAGGCAATCCCATATCTCTGGGAAAAAGGTAAGACCGGATACCGGTCACAGGGACAGGGGAGGGAGTGAACCCAGGTTTTTTATTCCGCTATCACAGTGAAGCAGATGAAAGAAAGTCTTTCCCCGAAGCAATCATGTTCCGGCTTTTAGTGATAGGGCGGGCTTCCGAGCGAACAGGAAAGGAGCAAATCCAGCTTCCTTCGTAGCCGTCAGTAGTCGGATGATGATAAAATAATAGATTTCTTTGTGTTAAGCAAATGAGTGGAACACAATAGGAATCCTATTTTAACAGAGTCCAACACTTCACAATGAAAGAAGAATTGAGCAACGCAACGAAGTCCAACGATAGAGAGCGGACAGATGAGCTAGATGTCGATAAGGTGACGGAGGGTTTTTTTCCTCCCTCTAGGATGCTTGGTTGGAGTTGGGAGTTCGGAAAGAGTGACTCGCATTAGACTTTCCATTTTCATCCCCTTCAAATCAGTGCCAAAATCTATCCTGCTCCCTCTCAGCTGAACCCGACTCAACTGTGCCAAAAAAGACCTCCTCATCCCTCCATGTCTTCAATATCAGTTACCACAAACTGTTCCATAATAAAGTAAGTATCCCGTTCTGCACTGCTATCTTCAACTCACCAACTGTAGCATACGGTTCCACCATTATAAACACGCCGGGTGTCAATTCCCTCGTCAACTCATTTTCTAACTCCGCATCACTCTTAAAATGAATCTTAAAAGTAGATGTAGTGGATAAGCTCTCCGTGTTGGGGTAGGATTGGATCCTTTAGGAGAGAGACATAAGGTATTAAGAAATGGAAGAAGGTCTTTGACGATCCAGTATTAGCTAGCGGACTCATACCTTGATGACTCCCTAGTGGCCAGGGAAGCGTTAGCTTCACCCTTGGAACGTATCATCTACTCTCTAACGCTCTCTCTTCGGAAAAGCAGCTTCACTCCGCTCTTATCTCTAGCGAGAGAGCATCTCTCTCTGTCAGGCGATTTCCTAAGGGGAGAATCTAGGTTTCAGAGTTCATCAGTCCAAAGAAAGACTCCTGCGCCATCCATTCTTCCAGTATGAACCTGTTTCATAGCATACATCGTAGAAGACGGAACTCCTTGATTACCTTCTCAACAACCCTTCTTCTCTGGTGGAGTGACCAGTTGACTTTCCTTATCGACTTTCATCAGCGCACTAGGTTATTGCTAGACTTTGACCCTCGAACTAGCTGCTTTGACTTGCTATCTAAGAGACTAGCCTGGAGAGATAGGAAAGACGCTCTGCTCTAAAGGGATACTCAAAAAAAGGCAAGTCGATGCCCGGATTGACAACTTGATGTCGCAAGATCGGTTGTTAAAAGACTAAAGCCCACCTTCAAGCTAAAAGTCTAGTCGTATTTATTACTTATTCTTTCTTCTTCCGCCATACCCAAGAGTCATTCACTCCCTAAAGAGATTTGAGAAGAGTCACTAAGATAAGAGTTGTTATAGGATTTAACGAAAAGAGGTTTATAGTAAGTGTGCCGCTAATTGGCATATCTCTTTGTTGTAGAGACCTTCCTTGCCCTGCTTAGGGCTATGTGATAGCACCCAAAGGGACCTATTCTATTTGAACAAGACCATATAAACTATAGTCATACGGTCAACCGAACCAAAGCCAAAGCTAAATCCTCTGCCCTTCGCTCCTTCCCCGGCTCCACTCCAGAGCAATGCCACGACCCGGTCGAGAGCCTTCCATGCGGATTCCTTCAAAGAGAAAGAGAGTGTGTATTCCCGGCATCAATGCAAAAACTTCCCGGTCCGGGAACAAGAGCAATTATTGGTCCCACCAAACCATGCCATGAACAGTACAACAAGAGCGGGGGATATTGAAACTAAGACTCATTCCGTCTATTGCTCTACCTTCCTCCTACAGATTTAATTGCATCGTTTATTCCTATTCCGGCAAAACTAGCTGCTGACTCAACCTCCCCTCGGGTCTACGCCCTCGATGTTTTAACATCGGCGATTGAAAGAGAGTAGGAGCGCATTCTCTCCATCTCAGTTGGAAAGTCTATCGCTCTCAGCAGTAGTTCCTTGGTCATACCCTCGGTGATGACTAGCAGTCCTTCCTGATTGAGTTCTCACCCTCTATTGATAGATCAAGAGTTCCGGCCCGGCTATGATTCCATCAACAAACCCGATTCGGTATAAAAGCTTAGCTTCTATTACAATAAAATATTTTGAAAAGAGCTATCCTAAAGCTTGACAGGTCTCCCCAACTCAGTTTTTCACTCGAAAACCGAAAGCATAAGGATGAGCCTTGGGCCCCCTTTCCCAAGAACAGAAGGAGCGTTTAGATACTGTACCTTTAGGTGCGTGCAGGAGCAAGGACGAAAGGAGAACAAGTCGCAGGAGAAGCGTTGAAGAAGCAGTAGTTTAAGCCATTGATCCTGCAGCTTAGCTTCTAAAAAAAAAGAAGAAGCACCAGCAGACAGAGGTAGATACAGAGCCATAGGCAAACCTTCATGATCGATAGCCTTTTATGAAAACGACCCTCGTGCTCGAGAGGCGGATCCAAAGGCAGTCGCTTACCTAGGAGCATACTTCGGTGTAGCATAGCGGCATACCCCTTTGACCTAGGTGGAAAAGAGATCTATTGAAACCCACCATAAGTCGGAGACAGCTGCGGATACTTATTTACCATAAGCAAAAGCGGCTACTGAGGCGAAGGCAAATAAGGTTCCGTTCCATGGAAGGAAAAATAAATGGAAATAAAAATAATAAAAGGTCTGATCAAATCTTTTGCTTTCTTGTTGTCTTGAATTGTTATAGAACGATTATTTATATAAGGTCTAGTTGGTAGGATGAAGTGGGATGTGAAGCCTTAGTGGATATAGCAAGTGTGCCGGGGATGCGGCTCGGGCCTAGTAGGTCTGGACGCCTAGCATGAAACAGCCTTCTCTGGTAGCGGCACTATACCTTAGTATAGTCTCTCTCTAGCTTCCAGTCTATATAAAAAAACTTAGTTAGCAGAGGTCAGTCTGTCTGGCGTTCCCTCGCGTAAAGGGCTACTTTGGCATCGGCTCTCTCTCGTTAGGTAATTACCGAGGCGAAAGCAGCTCTCTCGGAAGTTAGTTTCCCCGCCATCTTAGTGGGACTAGTCTAATAAACTTTCACTTCAACTGCCTGACTCTAACAAGTAAGCAAGTAAACTACCAAGACTCGGATTTTTTTTGTGGTAACGCCCTTCTAGAATTACGTTTAACGTCCCTTTATTACTTTCCCGATCAGCGCCTCGGGTCGGTAGCCGGGCTCCGGGACATTACTACCACGGCTACTATCGACCCGAGCCCAAAGAAGGAAAAGAACGGACTAAAGCGAGGAGTTCATTGGCCATACATAGTGAAGGGGGATGGGGGTCAACCTCTTTCATGACCCATGGCCCCAGTGTGTAACTTGGTTAGCATTTCTAGAACCAATTTAGTAGGGTTGGTTTTTCGATAGGGAAACAGGGGAGTTAGTTGGCTGTAGTTGAGACACGTTTTTCAGGTGGACGATATGGATTTCTTCGAGATGGTTAACCACTTTTTTCACCGTGAGAGGGAGGTCATTCAGAACCCGCAGGCTCCAGTCCAGAACCGGTGGAAGTTCCCCACGCCGATCCCCCTGAGGGACTTCGAAGTGCTATTCATTGATTCTTGAGCAAGTTCGGGAATATTGTGAGAAGGGGAAAGGGCGGCTTTCCGTTCACTTTCCGGAAATGGAATAAATCTATTCCAGTGTCGCAGAGAACATTATGTCTCGCGATCTGAAAATATCTGCGGAGATTTATATTGAAACCCTCCGCGGATGGGTGGAGGAGATAAAGGAGAACCCTAATCCCCTAAAATACCTCATTAGGGAACACCTGTAAGATGAGTCTGCCGCTTTCTTTCATAACAGAGCCGGCGGCTGGCATAGAAGTCTCTCGCACGCAAGGAGATGCATTTCTGGTACAGGTAGCACTGGACAAGCTCTTAGGGAATAATCTCTTTCTTATTTCTTCCTTTTTTCCCATGACGACTAGGAACGGGCAAATAAAAAATTTCACTTCGAATTTCGGACCTCAACATCCTGCTGCTCATGGTGTTTCACGATCAGTATTGGAAATGAACGGA